CTACATCTTGATAATCCGGTGTATTTTTATTAAAAAGTTCACGAGAAACATCGCCAGTAGAAGGTTGATTTTCTTCTTTCCAAATTTCTAGGAACACTAATAAATATTTTTGAAGATGAATGTGAATCATTATCACATTCTGGAACAAAACACTTTTTCGTAGTCATAATATTTATAAAAAGTACAAAATTAAACACTCAAATTCCAAATAAATTCTTGATCGAGACACTATGACAGCTGCCATATACAGTGCTGCCATTTTGCCATTTTCTGAATTATTAAGTGACTTTTAAAACAATGAAACTTTAAATATGGTAAAAGTTTAAACAGAAATAATACTTTCAAAAAACATTTGATATTATGTATTTAAAAGATATTTGTTTAACAATGTTTTAGAAGTCTAAAATTAAGAAGGAGTACACAAACGAACGTACATCACTTCTCGTAAACCTTCTAGCCGGCAACGTTGTGCGCTAGCTCCTATTGGTCTATTCCCGGTGACGTCATAAATTTTAAAAAAATTCATAACTCCGGCAAATGAATAGATAAAAAAAAAATAAAAAAAATGTAGTTTTATTTTCAACTCTATTATTCATAAAAAAAATTTCAAAATTTTTGAACATGCCCCATTGTTGTTGAGGACTTACTTTCTCGTGAGGCACTGTACAAATACATTAAAAAAAAATTCCCAAAAATTTGCAAGGTAAGGTATAGTTAAAAGTTCAGCATTAGATAAATAAGAACTTAAACTATTAGAAAAAAATTAATTTTAGTCATAATCTAATAACTTTTATTTTAAGATTTGAGGCGATAGGTGTGGCGAAAGGACCTCCTTAAGATGTATGCGGAAAATGTATAAATTTAGTTTATCCCCTAAACAATTACAAATGTGCTGCAACAGGTTGTATAAAATAACCGGAAAAAGTATATAATAACTAGATAGGAAAGTCATGTTTTGGACATATCAGATTTTTTAAAAAAATTGGTAAATTTTATATTTTTTTTGACGAAACCGTCCTTTTTTTTTAAAAAACTATACCAACCAAGGGCTAGTGCAACTTATTCTCTCTGCGCATAAAAAATGTATGGTATTATCTTTAAAATTGTGACTTGTTATTTTTTTGCTGTTTGGTAATTATATAAACATTTTTAATTTACCTTTTTGATCTTTGTTTACTCAATTAATTTTTATTCGTCTAATCTTATATCTTTCTATTCCTTTTATACCTCTTACATTATTATAATAATTCAAGAAATATTTCCTTATAGAAATAGGAGTAGATTCGTAAATTATTTTATTAATTTTTTGGAACTTTCCAAGATTAAAATGTAAATGTGGCAAATCCGGTATCCGTACCAGATCATTATTTCCTTAATCCTAATGAAATTATAAATCTACAAATTTTCAAATTTTTAGCCTTGTGTTCAAGTTCAAGACATTCGGATTGACCGCTGGCTCTCAGCTCTCGCATTCATATAATAAAGAAAAATGTCTATTCTATATTCTATTAGTATTACCTACCAGTTAAATATTTCATTTTCGACAACTTAAATGTGCTGAATATAAAATTTATGCTAATCTCTTTGTTGTTTTTTCTTTATTTGTGTCGGTTTCAAACGAGAGAATTTAAAACATGCTTACGTCTATTAATGTTTAAATTCATTATTATGAAAGGAAATATTTAAATGAATAAAATTAGGTGACGTACAGTTTAAAAATAAAAAAAAAATGAAGGATTTCTATATGGTAGGCGTCTGTCTGTTTTAAACATCGAGAAAGAATAGTGATGAGCGATATTTCACGAACTGTTACTTTTTCACTGATATCATTGCATAAGTAGTCCTAGTAGGTCATCCCAATGCATTTATTTGTTTGATACCAAAAGGAAACTACCACCAGGGGCCTATAACACAAGTCATACAAGTCCTACAATTGTTAGAATAAATTTTACACTTGTAGCTTTTCCATAACACAACTCAACTTGTAACTACCCATACGGCACCAGTAATTACGGAAGAATTTCTACATATGTACACGTAGTCTGTAACATAAAGTTAACACTTGTATAATTGTGTTACAGAATTTTCTACAAGTGTAGTTAATGTTTTACCTATCTAAAACTCTGGGTAAAGACTCAGTATTATAGCAATTCTCGTACTGTAAACACGTACGTATCTGTCCCCAGTATGTGGTCAAGTAATTCTGAGAGTGACCATGAAGATCCGCCTAGAGAATATCGGTTCAGTGCAAGAAAAGTCTTTGCTTTTCTCACTGATAATGAATTCAACGAAAGGTTTCATCTGAGCCGAGTTCAATTTGAAGATCTTCTTCGGGATATTGGCCCAAGACTTGCAAATACAACAGTTAGATGGTATGGATTGACACCGCCACAGAAGACATTAATTGCTCTCCATTGGTTGGGAAATGGAGGTCAGTACCATGGTGTTTGTGATATGCATGGGGTATCAAAGATGACTGTGTGTAGGTGTGTCACATACTTTGATTTTGTATGTGAGGTGTGTACATGATACTGTCAGTGCTGTCAATGAAATCAAATTCGAAGAAGTAGTGTCATGGCCCCATAATACGTTGGATATTGCACAAATATTTCATGCACCCAGATAGCACAGTACGTCTTAAGGACGTCCAATTCATGTCCATTTAACATCTGTACGTCCGGGACCTATTATGGACGTTTTAAGTATGTCCAGTTTAGTAAATCCTCGGGACGTCAACAAATAGATATCCGCAAAACGTCAATTGTACATGCTTTACTATATTTCCATGGATTCACATTCGCATTGTATTATTATTTGGTTATATTATACAAAAAACATATATAATAAGATAATATAAATAATTATTAAAGATGGCATTGTCCCAATATCCATTTGAATGAAGGCCAAATAGACAAAACCGAAGAAGATCTTTGGCAAGAAAGTGACATTGTTGACAAGTGACTTTTTATTTTTATTTAGATAAATTAGATATGATTCTGATTCAGATTCAAGCATTGAAGTGAAATATTCCCAGGGCTCAGGTTTTATTAAAAAAAGTGTTCAATGTTCATGATTCGATGGTATATACATATTATACGAGTACAAGTTCTATCATTCCGCCATTTGTACCATTTTTATATCTGAGAAAGGTGGAAGTTTTTCAAAGCTAAAAGGTTAGTGAATTTATAATGTCTAGCAAGGCAAACTGAAACAAACAGATTGGATTTTAATTTTGATATGCCTTTTATTTTGAATAAGCGATTAAATTATTTTCAGATTCAGTTGAGAAGGCAAATATGACCAAATCAAGATAAAAACTGACTGCTGTCAATCCAGGCATGGTTGAGAAGAGCAAGGTAGAGGAGTTTTCCAGTGAATACTACAAAGCTAAAAGGTTAGTGAATACATAATGTCTAGCAGGGCAAACTTAAACCAACAGATTGGATTTTCATATTGATCTGCCTTTCATTTTGAATAAGGGATTAAATTATTTTCAGGCTTAACTGAGAAGGCAATTATGACCAAATCAAGAAAAAAATAACTGCTGTCAATCCAGGCATGGTTGAAAAGAGCAAAGTAGAGGAGTTTTCCAGTGAATACTACAAAGCTAAAAGGTTAGTGAATTCATAATGTCTAGCAGGGCAAACTTTAACAAACAAATTGGATTTTCATATTGATCTGAATTTTGAATAAGCGATTAAATTATTTTCAGGTTCAACTGGGTAGGCAAATATGGCCAAATCAAAAAGAAAAAAAAAACAACTGCTCTCAATCCAGGCATGATTGAAAAGTGCAAAGTAGAGGAGAGACAGGATGAATTTGGCGAAAAAGTTTTAATAATTTCACAATTTATAGGTTATTTGCTTCCAAATAAATTTTTTTGAAATTATTCATTATTTTCATTAATTTCCTTACATCCTATTATTCCTCATTTGAGCTTTTGAAAATTTCCATGGAATGTCCTTAAATGTACGTTCTTAAGACATCCTGATTATTAACAATGGACGTTCCAAATACGTCCATAAGACGTCCAGGCCGTGAAATGGACGTCTTAAGGATGTCCTGAATGTCCAAGCAGGACGTTTTTAGAACGTCCATAAGACGTATTTGTGCTATCTGGGCAGTAGCCGGTTTTCCTGAAGTATGTGGTGTAGTGGATGGAACACTTATAAATATAGACGCTCCCAGAATTAACGAACCAGCCTATATGGATCGGCATGGTAACCACTCAATAAACTGTATGGCTTTTTGTGGCCTAGATCTAAAATTCTACTACGTTAGTGCCAACTGACCCAGTAGTGTTCACGACGCACGGGTATTGCGAAATAGTTCCTTATTTCGCAGAATGGAAAATGGTTGGAGACCTCATCCCAATGCTGTAATTCTAGGAGACTCCGCTTATCCGCTGAAGCAATGGTTGATTCCACCAACATATGAAGATCCGTTAAATCCAGCCCAGTATAATTTTAACAGGGCACATAAACAAACAAGAAGATTTATTGAAAATTCTATAGGCATTAAAAAAAAATTCCTTGTTTGAATCATCTACGCGTCAATCCCGTGTTTGCCGCAAATATTTTTAAATGTTGCGCACTGTATGTAATATTTCAAAAACTAATCACGAAGCAGAAGATTTTGCATTACAAGATGACGAAGACGTCCTAGATGCAGAAAATTATGAAAATCGCGAAGATGATGCACCTGCTGCCGGGACCCAAGCTAGATTACAAGAACTCATCAATTATTTTGGGAGAAATTGATATTATTGTAGTCAGGAAATGAATGTAACATAAAAATATTCGCTTTTCTTATAAATAGTTTATCAATGTTTATCAAATATATAATATTTGTAAATTAACACATTTTATATTTTAAAAATTAATAAGAAAATAACACAACTAAATAATTATTTGGTTCATATGTGAAGTTTCTATTATAAATTTTAATAGCACCTGCAATTTTCAATTTCATAATTATGTTGTGATAACGTTGACGTAAACTCAGATGTAGGCAGTTGGAGTTATTGCTCTTATTTTTCTTATTTCCAATTTAGTTCTATAATTCTTCAGTTTGAGGTATTCAACTTGCAACGTGAGCTTTTCTTGTTTTAAAGCAGATGCATTGTATGTACATGCATTGTTTGCGGTAACTCGTTTTCGTTTTCCTGCAAACAAACAAATTTAATTTAGTCGACAGTTTTATGCGGCACTGATAAAATTCAACCCAGTATATGTGGTTTAGTATAGTAAAATTATATATGATTGTGTTAAATTTAGCATTATTATTTATTTACGGCCCGTCAGCAGCTTCTAAACATGTTTATTAAGCTTAAATTAAGTAATAAACTAGAAATATAGCTGATTTTCATATTGCTTAAATACACTAATATGTTTTCTAGTTATGTTAGCCTCGATGTTAGCTTACCATAGGTTTCTTTTGAAGTAAATGGGGTCACGTGTTCACTGATTGGTCGGCTTTTGTTGATAATACCTTCAGAGTCATCCTCTGGGATTGTTTCACATGACTGTTCCTGATGTTTTTCGAACGACTCAGCTACTCCTAGTCCATAAATTACAGGAAACTCTTTCCCAATTATTTCTAATACCACATTATCAACTTTAGTTAACATTCCCATTCCACCGGTTCCAGTTTTTTTCGCATTATCAATTTTAAGCTAGAAATATATATGTACCACAAGTCAATAACATAAACACTGCAAGTTACAGAATTACTCACCATTGCAGTTTTCTTCAAATTCTGCCACATTGTATCCCTTACATAGGTCCAATCCTTATCTGTGGGAAGTAAACAAATACTTTAAGCCATTATTGCCATTTATTTCCACGTTTCTATTTTATCTTGCTTTCTTAGTTTGTCGGAAAATGCACCGAAAAGAATGTCTCTATTTTCTTTAATCTTATTTAAAAATTGCATTTTACGTGCAAAAATGATTTGTTTTGAAGACGTTTTACCTAAGACAAACGCTGTAGCAGATGCACTTAATATGCCGCCTCCCGCCTAATGTCTCAAGCGTGTCGTGACAAGTCGGGAGTCTATTGTAGCAATTTGCATTGTGATACGGAATTCAGTAGGACTAAAATAGATGACAGAATAAACTTAATGAAATTTGCCATTTTTATTCAACTCTGTATTGTTTTCATTGGATTTAAAAATATGTCAAAGTAAAGAAAACTGATTTTCGTAATATTGTTAAGAGTTATTGCTCCACTGACAATAGCGAGAAATTTGTATAAATAGACATTTTGGTTTAATCCTAGAAGACACAATAATACCATATTTTTTTATGTGCAAAGAGAATAACTGTCACTAGCCCCGGGTTAACATAATTTTTTGAAAAAAAAAATTATAAAGTATATTAAATTTTTTAAAAAAAGGGCAACTTTTAATAGAGAATTAACATTATCAAACATGCATTATTGTTTAAACGATCAGGTACTACTAAGTTGTAGTAAATCATTTCCTTAACAAGATCAAAAAATAATTTTTAAAATTGGACGTAATATAAAGTCATAATTATTAATTCAGCAAAATAAATTCGGATATAAAAATGATTGAAAAATATGACTACAATATCCTTTCTCGGAACGTGTTCATACCGAGGGATGATAAACTGTCAACGCTTAAAGAGTTAAAATATGTAAAAAGCTTCTGGGCAACATTTCTGTTTGCAATATAAATTATTTTAGACCTTAAAAATATTTTTAGTATACCTAATGATAAACAGACTTTAGATAAAATATTGCTCTCTATTTTTAGGGTGTTTTATTGTTGCCCACTGTTATCAATCATACCTTCCAATATTTTTTGTTCATTCTTGACAAAATACTTATGTATATTATGATATTTTAAATTATTCAGAAAAAAGTTTTTTGTTATTACCAGAGATGAGGGGGGAGGGTGGTGAAACTAAAGATATACCCCTATCAGACAAATATGATAATAGCGAAAAACTATCTTATACAATAATTTAAAGTGCCTTAACATTTATATGTTTTTTTCCAAGTATGAACAAAAAATATTGGAAGTTATAAAGGATGAAGCTGAAACTAGCAGCCAGAGTTAGCAGCCTGTGTGAGAAAATGCATACAAGTTAGATATCACAAAATAAAGCAATATTTCTACTTAATTTGTCTTATTATAATAATATTATTAATGATAACAATAATAATAATGATAATAACAAAGTGAGGATATCCGTATTTGGAAAAAAAATCAGTAAAAACGTTATGAATATAGGTACTTTAAAAAAACTTTAAATATATATTCAAATTTTTCTTAATGAAAAATGATCGGCGCTGGGTTAAATAATACATAAATAGATTCTTCAAGTAATAGGGTACAAGAACACATCAATCAAAAAAACAATATCGAGTGCTTGGATTGTTGAAATTATTATACTGTTATGCTAGAGTAATACATAACACAAAAATATATTGTTTTTTTAATGAAAAATTAACGGCGCTAGGTTTTTTCTACAAGAAAAGAATTTTTTTTAATATTATTTTTTTGATATTTTTTTTTTATATATATAGTTTATGTTGTTGTTAGTTTGTTTTTTGGCTTACCTGTGGTACATTTTATGGGGTATGTAATTAATATTAGATCCTTTTTTTTTATTATATTATTCTGTAATTGAATTTGTGTCATTTTTGTCCTTTTTCGTGTCCGGTATTTGATATTGTATCCGTTATAATTTCTTCGATAGTCAGGGTGTTGTTACCCTCCTTTTTGCGCTTTCGGGCACTCATATCCAAATTTTGCAACCAATGCCCCCCCAAAAAATCTACCTATTCACAATATATTAGCCAGTGTAGAAACAGGAATAGCCCAAATCCCAACAGAAGCTAAAAACAACATCAGAGCAAAAGTTGTAAATACAATAACTAATTTTAAAAACAAATATAAAAACACCAAAATAGACCCAAATGATAAAAAACTCAACATACATAATACTAAAAAATTCATAAAAGAACACCCAGAAATCACCATTCTACGTCCAGATAAAACTAACAAAACAGTCATTATGCCAACTATTGAATACCAAAATAAAATGCACACATTACTAAGCGACACAAACACATATGAAAATATACCGAATGACCCAACAAATATATACCAAACTAAAAACAATAAACTAATCACAAACTGGGAAAAAAAATACATCCCAACAAACATCGCAAAATCTCTTAGAGTATACAATACACACCCACCATCTATCTATGGATTACCAAAGTTACACAAGACGGCCAATAGTATCATGTATACAATCCCCATACCAACTAACTTCAAAATTCTTAACGAACATACTAAAAAACGTAGTAGGTAAAAGCCAACACCACATTAAAGACTCATGGCAATTCAAAGAAAAAATCTCCAACATACATGTACCTGACAACCATATGCTTATATCATTGAATGTCACCTCCTTATACACAAACGTACCACTAGATTGTAGTAAAAAAAAATAATCGAAAAACTATGGCCTGAAATAAAAAAATGTACAGACATACCTCTTAACGAATTTCTAATAGGCTTAACCGACACACTCACATCTACATATTTCACATTTAATAGTCAATATTATAAATAAACTGAAGGCTTAGCAATGGAAGCACCAATATTTAGCATCATTGCCCAACTTGTCATGGAAGACTTAGAACAAACACAATTACAAAAATTAAATATAAAACCCATTTTATATTTTAGATACATCGACGACTGTATTTTACTTATACAAAAAACAGAAACCAACAATATACTAGACACATTCAATGCTTACCACTCAAAATTACAATTTACTATCGAGACTGAAAACAACAACTCTCTAAACTTTCTAGATTTAACTATACACAACAAAAGAAATACATTAAAAACTGAATGGTATACAAAAGCTACCTGGTCAGGACGATACTTAAATTTTACATCAAAACACCACATATCCCAAAAAAAATCAGTTATTATAGGTCTAGCAGACAGAGCTATCAAATTATCAAACCCTGAATATAGAAACATAGCAATTAAAAAAGTCAAAGATACACTAATACAAAATATCCTATAAAACTCATCAACACAATAATGCAAAAACGTATCCACAAATACTATAACAACCAACAATATAATAAAGACAAAACAAATGCCAAATATATCTCAATACCATATATCAGTGGTTTATCCGAAAAACTCCAACACATAGTCAAACCTTTTAATATTGAAATTGGACATAAAAATATAGCAACATTATCACAAAATTTTACAAGACTAAAAAACAAAACCCCACATAATAAGAAAACCCACACAATCTATCAAATTCCATGCAAGGGAAATAACTGTAACAAGATATACATAGGTCAATCAAAACAATACTAAGAAAACAGAATACGAACTTACAAAAACACAAAAAACGCATTAACAGCTCTAGGGAAACACAAACTTGAGACAGGACACGAATTTTACTACAACAATGTAACAATACTCGACACAGAACAAAATTTGAAAAAACGCGAATTTCTTGAAATGATACATATAAAAAAAAATGTTAATATCATTAATGATCGCTGTGACATTCGATACTTAAATCAAATGTATTTTAACCTATTATAAAACTATACTACTTGAAAGATAACTAATAACACAAAATAAACAAAATAATAATAATAGTAATAATAATAATAATTATAATAATAGTAATATAATAATAATAATAATAATAATGAAAATAATAAGAACAATAAAAATCTTGTACCAATCATGACCCTAATAGACCAAACTATAAAAGACCAAAAAATAAAAAGAAGAAGAAACGACAAATGACATATGTCAAATTAAATAATTTTCAACCTGTCACTTGATAAATCACAAACCGCATGGTAGCAAGTAAAATAAAAAAAAAAACCAAGTAAGATTTTTTTCAATTTCCGGACCTTTATGAGGGCCCGAAATCGCAAAGTGGAGTTAAGAAATTATAACGGATACAATATCAAATACCGGACAAGAAAAAGGACAAAAATGACACAAATTCAATTACAGAATAATATGATAAAAAAAAGGATCTAATAACACTTAATATTAATTACATACCCCATAAATTGTACCACAGGTAAGCCAAAAAACAAACTAACAACAACATAAACTATATATATAAAAAAAAACACCAAAAAAATAATATTAAAAAAAATTCTTTTCTTGTAGAAAAACTGTTCAAATGTACAAATATGTTTTAAAAAAAATTTAAAAAAAACTACTGAAGAAGGCCCTGAGCAGGACCGAAAGCTTTACTTTACTTAAACACGAGTTTCATTTCCTCAACACCTAAAACCCAAGAACTACAAGAAAAAATATAAACAAAGGTGTAAGAAAAAAAAAACTTTAAAAAAGGAGGTTCTCCTTTTATAAAGTAACAATAATAACGAAAAACTATCGGCGCTGAGTTATATGATATATCAGTTAATTACTCAAGCAATAAGCTTCGAGAATAAGTCAATATAAAATACAATATCGAGTGCTAGAACGTTGAAAATAATAAAAATTAGTTAGGCTAGATAAATGTTTCTCGTAAAAATGATTTTTCTCTAAGAAAAATGAACGACCCTGGGTTTTATCGTACATAAATGGAATCATCAACTAATATACTATAGGAATCAGTTAATTAAAAGTACATTATCGAGTACTAGAACGTTTAAAATATCAAAAAACATTCAGACTCGAGAGACATTTCCAATAAAAATGTGATTTCTCTTAAGAGAAGTATTTACTTGGCTGTAGAGCGGAGCATGCAAGGGTTTCGTAGTACCCCACTTTTAAAGTTTATTTTTCACTTATTGTGGAAGAAAAAAATATGTACGTGTAGGTAAAGGATAAATCTATGCTCCTCTGGAAACACTTTTTCAAAATTTAAAACTGTTTTTTTCTAAAAAAAAAAATCTGATGTGTCCAACACATGACTTTCCTATCTAGTTATATAAATGTTTAGAGGATAAACTAAATATATACATTGTCCACATCTATCTACCTCGAAACATTTTTCTATAGATATTCATGGAAAACGAAAATACTGAAAAATTTTAATTTCCTACAATTTTTTCATTACGGTCCATTTTAGAAAAATCATGTGTAAACAAAAATTATAGAGATCGATATCGCAAACAACTTTTATTTCAAAAACTTTCATAATAAAAATCAGAATTTTGCACATTTTGTCAAATTTCTCGAATACGGGCCGTTTCAGGAAATTTTTACATAAAACAAAAATTACAGATAATAATATTAGAAGTAACTTTTATTTGAACAATTTTCCTCTCCAAACATAAATAACAGATATATTCCATAAAATATAAAAACGGCCTCCCATAAAGTACCCCCCCAGATGTTCCGACTTTGTCCAAAATCTAATCATTTCACGTCAGGCCGAAATAAACCTTAAGTTTAAAATTTAATGTTTTTTTCTTTATCCGTTTTTGAGTTTTCTTCAAAATTCGAAATTTACACATTTTCTCAAATATCTCGAATACGGTCCATTTTAGAGAAATTATGTAGAGAATAAAAATTATAGAGAATTATATTACAAACAACTTTTATTTGAACAATTTTTATAAAAAAATATTTTTTTTACATTTTGTCAAATTTCTCGAATACGGACCATTTTAGGAAAATTTTGTATAGAACAATAATTATAGATAATAATATTAGAAGTAACTTTTATTTAAAAAATTTTCTTTTCCAAACGTAAATAACAGATATATTCCATAAAATATAAAAATGACCACCTATAAAGTACCCCCCCAAATGTTCCGACTCTGCCCAAAATCTAATCAGCTCATTAGACGCTGAAACAAAGCTTAAGTTTAAAATTTGGTGTTTTTCTGTGTATCGGTTCATGAGTTATGCGTTATACAGACACACACACACACACACACACACACACACACAGACACACAGACACACACACACACAGACATCATCGCGAAAATAGTCAAAACGGATTCAGGGGACCTCAAAACGTAAAAATCCGTCGAAAACTCGAGGTCGAAAAAAATCATGATTCCTATACTTTCCTTATACAGATAGGAAAGTAAAAATACAAAACTCGACTTTTTTTACCCATTTTCTCAATTTTTTTTAGAAAAAATTAAATTGAATTTTGAAAAAGTGGTTCCAGAGGAGTATAGATTTGACCTTTACCTACACATATACATTTTTTTATTTTAAAAATAGTCAAAAATAAACTTTAAAAGTGGGGTACTACGAAACCTTTACATTGCAAGATTTTTCGTCTGGAAAGTGGCGCCTCTGTTAGATTTTTAAGAAATTAATATTTGTGAATGAAAACAATTTATAATATATTTTACTGATGTTTTACGAGGGATGAATAAATTTTACGTATTTGTACCCCTTATTTTTTACGTAATTTATTTCTGTAATACTAAGATTGGCATATATATTATATGCAAGGGTTTCATAGTACACCAATTTTACGGATTATTTTTTAATTTTACTGAAAGAAATTTTACGTAAGTACAGGTAAAGGCTTAACCCATACCTCTCTGGATTTACTTTAAAAATATGAATCAGTCTCTTTTGAAAAATCTAAGAAAAGGAACGAAAAGAAATAGAAATGTTAAAAAATGCTAGAAGAGAACAATATATTTAATTTTTGCCTACAGGAGCATTTATTTTTATTACAATAAAAATAGAAATACGTTAAAAGTTTTTTCGTCTAGAAGGTGATACCAACAAAATATATATCTTTTTCTAGTATTTAGTGATAAACAGTACGTAAGTGATTTGATTTCATGTTGTTATTTTTTACATACAGTGATTTCGCTCAATTATATTAAATTAATTTTCATTTCTTTATTAAAAAAAATATATATACGAAATTGGAAGGTATACACTCAGATGTGAATTATATGTTTTCCATATTTATAGTTAAAGACACCGTAGTTTAAAAATATCTATTAGCTTAAATCAAAATGAAAAATGATTTGTCATTTCTAATAAATAGAACACAACTTAAAATACAACTGACAAATATAATGACATTAACAAAATAATGATAAGACAATAACTTACAAACTACATGGTAACGACATAGTAACTAGCACATTAGAACACCAACTAATGTTGACAGTTGACATAATTTCCTACGTTGCCATATAAAATCCTTCATATTATTTCTCACTTGTAATTTTAGATTCAATCTTTTTTGAGAATGCGATTTTTAACAACCATGCGAATTTGGTATGCGACATTTGCCGTGTGCGACAATTTTCATGCGAGACTCGAGAATTCTACCCCTGAGCTGGACTCAGTCCGAACTGACGAACTGTGCAGGACTGTCACCCATGAATTTACCATACAATAGATATAGTAATTAAAAAATTATATACGAATGTTAATCTGTTGACAATATGTCAATTTACTAAAGCCAAGAAACTGGCGTAAAAGCCAGTGAAGTGAAGAGTGCTTATATCGTGCTCATCCACTAGAGCCTAGAGCAGTGGTCGCCAACCTCTCAATGTGTTGAGCTACTTTGTTAATTTTGGAATAAACAGCGAGCTACCCACACGGAAGCCACGTAACGCAACGTAAATGAAATAATCCACAGTTAATTTATCATTATATGTATTTATTTTATTACTATTTAACTGGTAATACATAATACACAGGTACTAATAATAAACTAATAACAAAATAAATAATATTACTAGTACGTACTTGTTCATAGCTACATTTCTACCTACCAAACGAAGGTGTTTGAAAAATAAACAAACTTTTATCCAGCCACAACGGCATGTCACGTAAGATTTAAAAATAGTTAATAATAACAACAAAAAAGTAACGCACTATCATGAACATAAACATTGAAAAATAAAAAAGCACCTTCAATGAGAAGGCTGACACTCAGACTCATCGATAATTTTTTTAATGTTTGCAGTATACTTTGATACAGCCATTCGAATACAATTATCCAAATGTTCATCTGTAAGTCGATTGCGATATTTGTTCTTAATAAACTTCATATTGGAAAAAAAAGATTCACACAAATAGGTTGAACTGAATAATGCTTTCACTTTCAAGGCAACACGGCATAGAACTGAATATTTGTCTTTACTTACAATAGGCCTGATACATTTGGTACTTGAGACTAACGATTTTAAGGATAAATCATTTTGAAACTCAATTACTTCCATTTCTGTTGCAGCGATGTTTTCGCCAAAGGTCTGCATAACACAAGTTGCAAACTGTTGGATATAAATTTCCATAAAGGGTGAAACAACAAACTGCGCTACTAAAGCCATTTCGTTGAAATCCTTAAAACGATTTTTAAAGTTATTTTTCAGGGTAGAAACTATTTCTACATTATTTTTGCTGTCATAGGGTTCTAATGGATTTTGAGATATTTTTTCTGAAAGAATAGGAAAATGCTTGGCATCGCTGTTAATTAGATTTGTTCCCAAAACTCCAGCTTTTTGATAAATGCTTTTATATCTCTCCCCTGAAGCTGCAAATTAAGTTCGTTTAATTTCTCTGTAATGTCCAGAAGAAAACCAAAATCTCTAAGCCAGATTGACAGTCAACTTCATTGGCCATGGTTTTGAATAATCTTCTTTGTAACGCTTTGTAACGCTTGAGCTCTAATCTTGTTCACAATTTGTACCACCAGTTTCATACCGTTGTTTAGTTTCAGGAAATTTCCACATAATGCTTGCTGATGGATAATGCAGTGGTAACAGAGAAATTGCGGAAAAGTTTCATCTTTACAAAATAATGCCACCAGACCCTTATCACAACCCACCATAGCTGAAGCGCCATCGGTTGTCAAGCCTACCATTTTCGATATTGGAATTTTCTCGGAAGAAATAATATTTTTTAAATGAGAAAACAACTCCTGTCCAGTAGTGTATCCTTTCAGTGGAATAAACTTCAAAAGAACTTCTTTAATCGTAAATTCGCTAAAAAGCCATCCTCACGAACACGGCCATCTGGGCAGTGTCAACGACTTCTGTTGATTCATCCAGTTGAAGTTAAAATTAAACACAGTTATCTAAGTCAGTTCTTAATTGTAAAAAAATATCATTGCTCATTACTTCTACACGTCTCATCACTATATTAGCAGAAAGTTGCATAGATTTTATAGCTGAAACTATCTCCTCTTTATTTCTAAAGTTGGCCAATAGCGAATCAGCAGCTTCTAAAAACGCCTGTTTTATCATTTCCCCGTCTTCATAAGGTTTCTTTTTTTGTGCAATTATCTGGGACACTCGGTAAGATGCTTCAGTTGCAGCCTTATTTTTGTCGACTGTTCTTAAATATATTGATTGTTGTTCAATTAACTGCTTTTTTAACTGTTTCAGTTTCTCCTTTCTAGCGGCAGAATGTAGTGGGAATGATTTTTCAAAATTAGAATGTACAGTTTTATGATGTCTCTCAATATTTTCTTTTTTAGCAACGGAGACCGAAGTATTACATAACAAACACACATTTTTATCTTTAACTTCTGTAAACAAGTATTGTTCTTCTCATTCCGAATGAAAGTGGCATGTCTTTACCTTCTTACAACTGCTTGCCATAATATTATTTTTTCTGTTTCTCTACTAACCCAGCCCCTGGACGATGGTTACGCGTTTAGTTTTAAACTAAGTGCAATTTCGTTGCGCCGTGCAGTGTTGCCAGATGAAAAATAAAAAATATGGTATCCGACATATAAAAAAATGGTATTTTACTGACAAAAAATGGTATCTTATTGAATTATCTTGATAACACCATATAATAAAGTTTTGCACACATGTAGTTTATTTAGGATTGCCAGACATCCGGCTAAAGCCGGACATGTCCTCCTTTTTTTGGCCATTTGTTAATGTCCAGCCGCCTTTTTCTTTTATGTCTAATTTTTTTAATTTAGGAAAAATTGTTAAATTATTTCGATTTTTATAATACTAAAAATCTGATGTGTCCAACACATGACTTTCCTATCTAGTTATTATAGGCTTTTTCCGGTTATTTTGTACAACCTATTGCAGCATTTCCATAAATGTTTAAAGGATAAAATAAATATATACATTTTCCACATACATCTACCTAGAGACATTTTTCTATAGATATTCATTGAAAATGAAAATACTGAAAAATTTAAATTTAGCACTTTTAATACCGCCGTGCGTATTTATCCAAACACTAACGCGCTGGTCCGGCTGGTCGGTTCTAGCCGATTCTAGCTTGATGGCGTCAGCGGCAGATCGCTCACCGCAACGTTGCCGCTGTTTATGTTTAATATTATGACAATTAGATTTTTTTGTGGAATTTTCGGACGCTTCTCTAATTTTTGCAGTTTGTATTTTTTAAATTAAAATTGTTGTGATAGCTACCAGAATTGCCTCCGCAAGCTACCGGTAGCTCGCGATCGACAGGTTGGCGACCACTGGCCTAGAGCCACTAGAGCTAGTCTCAGTCACCAGTTACTGATTATGCTTGTAACACGTTACTCGATTGGCGCCCGCGCTATTGGCTATTGAATTAGCATAATGTACATGCGGCTTAGCAGCCTGTTTATGCATATGACTAATTTGATTCACAGTTTGCCATAGTTTTACCTGTATTTTGTGTCTGCCCCAGTTCTCCCTAAACTATTAAAATAATAAAAAGAAAGGCAAAAAATAACTGCGTAACTATTCAACAACTACTTTGAATTTATAATTCATATTCACATTTCATATTTCATTCCTGTGATGAATGAAGTATGATGAAAGAATCTGGGTTTTTCCATAATATTTAATCTACCGATTTAATTTTACCTTTTGAATATTTATATGAAATTACAATTTATTGTTATTATTAGTTTTCATGTATATTTGTTACCGAAAAATTTAAATTCACATTCACCTATTAAAAAATAAATTGAAATCATGGACAAAATAAGAATACTAATATTTCGGTGCTTTAGAAATAGATACTTAAAATACTGTGTCCTCATATTAATGAAGATCATATTCCGAATCTCACCTGACCAAAATGATGTAACCAGTTACCAAAAACTAAATTAATAACTTAAGTAGTAATCCCAGAACAATAATACTAACGAATATATAACAAACAATAATTATTGTCATATCATTTTCATTAAATTTTTTGGTATGCGAGATCGCGTGGGATACGGTTATTGTTATAGTATGTCACACCGAATAAGAACGTGTTTAATTATTCTCTACAGATAAATAAGTTACTACGTCTAACTTTTACCAGAGTAGTATACCCGTCCTGTAAAGTAATTAATCGCGGAAGCAAAATATACATGTGAACTTAATTAAAGAGCAAAGTGACAATCAATAAATTAAATATGACAACTGAAATACAAGTTATAAAAGTAATTTTTTTTATTGGTACCTAATTTTACTTATTTAAAGTACGCCTCAGCGTGTTTAAAACGAACTTTAAAAAACGCGCGTGTTTTAAAATTACCATGGCAACATCAACAACCCGAGTAACGTGATGTCTAAATGCCAACTTTTTAAATATCGATCTGACAGGAGTGCCTTGTAATGTCAAATAAAATATTTCTGAGAAATTTTTCAAAAAATTTATTCAAATATTTTTTCACATTCTTAATTGTTTAAATGAATGTGGAAAGTACAGTTAGTATTGTTTAAAATATTAAAACTTCGGTTTTTTAAATCAGAGGAAAAACTGTTCAAATTAAGATTGCTAACATTCTTGGAAGTCAATGAAGTTGTACTTCCATTAATAGCACTTCCAATAATATTTGAAACATTCTTCTTATTGCTAATGCTCTCTTCAACGTAACCAGTCGCCACAGCTGCCGATTTCCATCCCACTTGTCGTTGGATTTGATTTATTGTCATGCCATTATTCGCCATAATGGTAGCGGCCGTACGTCGAAACGCATGTCCAGTATATTTCACAGGATCGTCCAATTTAAGATAACTTGCAATATGCTGGGGACATGATCCAAATGTAGTAATACCAACCACTTGATTGGTGCACTTCCCCTTATCATACCGTAAGAAAACTCGGTCTGTACTTACATTTTGGGGGCGCAATGATAAATAATGCTTTACCAAACGCACATATCTAATTGCATCCCTATCGGCAACAGTAAAATGTCGAGACTTCACTGTCTTAGATGGTCGGATAGTAATAAGCAATACGCTTCCTTCTTTCTTGATATCAGCTAAGCGTAAATCGCACAATTCACATCTTCTATAAGAGCCAAAGATGCCACAACCACCTTCAAAAATAAATACCTAATGTCCGGTGCATCTGTAAAAAACTTCCGCAAATCGTCTTCCTCGAATACATATGCCTTCTTGACTACCTCATTTTTGCTAATTGTCTTCATGAATGCATGCACTTTGACGAACGATTTTATATCGAGCCCTTTGTTTATCCTCAATATACTTTGTAATTTTGAATGGATAGTCCACATAGTCGATACTTTATACTGTTCTGATTAGTTTAACAATTTTCTTTAAAATCATAATTTTGCACATTTTGTCAAATTTCTCGAATACGGACCATTTTAGGAAAATTTGACATGAAACAAAAATTATAGATAATAATAGAAGTAACTTTTATTTGAACAATTTTCTTCTCCAAACGTAAATAACAGATATATTTTATAAGATATAAAAATGACCCACTATAAAATACCACCCCCCCCAGATGTTCCGACACACACACACACACATACACACACACACACACACACACACACACACACACACACACACACACACACACATACACACACACACACACACACGCACGCACGCACGCACCAACACACACACACACTCACGCACGCACGCACGCACGCACGCGCACACACGCACACACACACAGAGACTGTTACGATGAGCAATAGACTGCATTTTATAGGTTTGTTATTGTAAATATAATACTTTATGAAACTTTTGCTACTACACTATAATAATTTGATTCAAAAGTTTTTCTTGATCATCTATTTCTAATCAAGTTTAAATTTTATGAAATCTTTCTAAAAAATCTGATGTGTCCAACACATGACTTTCCTATCTTGGCTTTTTCCGGTTATTTTGTACAACCTGTTGTAGCACCTCTATAAATGTTTAGAGGATAAACTAAATATATACATTTTCCACATACATCTAACTCGAAACATTTTTCTATAGATATTCATTGAAAACGAAAATACTGAAAAATTTAAATTTAGCACTTTTCCTCCAATTTTTCAATTACGTTCCATTTTAGAAAAATCGTGTAAAAACAAAAATTATAGAAATCGATATCGCAAAGAACTTTTAGT